CTCCCCGACTACACAAGAAAACCACTTCCTCTTACTGGAAATGAGATATCCGCGCCTCCCTGAGGCTTCTCCCTGGCCCATGTGTCGTCCCTCCATGGGCAGGGGGACAGGTGACCACATCCGACAGACACCACCCCACTAGCTGCAGCCCTGCTCTCTCGCCTGCTGGCTTCCCATACACTCTCCCCGGGTTCCAAGCCTGCCACTGGCTCGCTGGCTTTTGGGAGTGCAGTGCTCCCGTATTCTCATGGCCAAGGTGTGGAGGAGGAGGCGAGAATGAGGGGCACACTGTGATTGGGCTGGGGGTGGGCACTGCGGGGGTGGCAGTGGTGAGGCCCCTCAGGAGGAGCCGGGGTACAGTCGGGATGCTGGAAGCTCCTTTCCCTGGGCGAGGCCGCCTCCTGGACCTGGCAGCAGACCCCTGACATTCCACTCTGAGTCTTGCCTTTGTGTTTGGGTTTGGAGCTCAGGGAAAGGCAGGAGCCTCAGGGGAATGAGGTCCTCACGTCTTCACTGTATAAAGGGGTTAAGACAGGCTCTGAACCAGGTGCAGGGGTTGGCATGAAGGCAAAGGGCGCCCGAAGACGCCCTTTGCACACACGGAGGGGAACCTCTGGGGGGCCCGGGCAGACTGCCTCTGGCCTAAGAAGGTGGGAAACCCAAGAAAGAAAATCATCTTCCAGACCAGGGGTCGGCAAACTTTTTGTGTAAAGGGCCAGACAGTAAGCATTTCAGGCTTTGCAGGCCATACGGTCTCTGTCATAGCTACCTGCCTCTGCCATCACAGGCTGAAAGCAGACACAGGCGCGACAGAACCACGGAGGGCGGCTGTGTTGCAACAAAACTTCACTCACAAACAGGCCACGTTTGGCCTATGGGTTGTAGTGTGTTGCCCCCTGTCGTGGATGACACCTGAAAACACCCTAGCTGGGCTCCAGGGGCCCTGTGTTTGTGCTTCTCCAGCGCTCGGTTCTCCTGCCCCGCACTCTGCTCTAGAAATGTATCCTGTCTGTCTGTCTGTGGCCCCTATGGCTTCTGGGGTGGAGACTTTATGTCCCTGGCGCCAGCACAGAACAGGTGTTCAATACATATTTGGGGAGAAAGTGTGTCATGGTGGAGGGGGAGACGATGTCTACAGCAGACAAGCCTCACGGAGCATTTCCAGCCTCGTGGCAAAAAGCTACAGGGTTCACATGGGAAACAGATCTTTGCTGATGACAAGCACTGCCAGAAGACAGCAGCCTGGCCAACAATTCCATTCCTTGTGAAAATGCAAACCCACGGGTGGACTCTGACGTCAGGCTAAACCCCAGAGAGCTGCGCCGCCAGAACCCCTGCAGACAGGCTGCTCCCGCCCTCCGGGGAGCCCTTCCCGTCACAGGCCCATCACCATTCCCTTCAGCCTCCTGCAATGAGGAGAAAAAACACTGTGGCTAGTCAGAGATATAAAAATTCTTTGTTACTGGAAAACCTAAGTGTCTCTCCAGGCCTGTGCAGCACCATTAGGTGACGTCAATGGCTCTGGGCATCCGAGCTCTGCACTTCCACTCTTCTTAGAACAGCAGCTAATTCACGGCAGTAAAGACATTCCTATTTAGAGCCTCAGAAAAGGAGAGGTAGCCCCTCGATTCTGCATCCCTAAGTCCTGTGCGAAGGGCTTGCCTGCTTTCCCTGTGAAGCGGGAAAAGTTTACAGGGGACATTTGATTCCACTCAAGCTAAGCAACAGCTTGAGGGCCTACTGCGCGCCAGGCAGCATGGGCACACAAAGGCAAGTACAGCCCCGTGACCCCACTGGAGAGGAGAGGGCAGTTAGGCACACAACAGTCATGATAACGGTGGGGGTGACACACAGCAAAGAAGGGGGGCTTGAGGAGGGACGTGGGACTTGATGTTTCTTGGGCTGGACCATGAAGGACTGGTAGAATTTGGGCACATGGAGTTGCAGGGAGACGGGCCCCACTATTAAGTGACAAAGAGGAAGGAGGAGGAACAAGGCTAGGTTGCCGTGGGGAAGGCTGTGCTTGATTTGGGACTTGAACGGTACTTGGCTCATTTCTGGCATGAGCATGGCCGAGCCCAAGTGGGCCTGCGTCTGCACGCGGCTGCACAGCTCACCCAGGCTGGCCCGCACTGCTCGGGCTCAGCAGCGTGTCTCTGAAGAGCCACCAGGGTTTCCTGCGCCTCTCTCTCTGCCCATGTCACCTCTCACGTAGACCTCATTATTCCTCCTGGGGTATCTAAACTTTGCGGTTGAGAGAATTTTTTTTCCTATGAAAGTCATTTCCCTTCCTTTCCCAGAGGTCTCCAAGGACTTGACTCCCTGTGTGACTTTACGGTATTAGGTGAAAATGTCCTGATTTCAGATGACATTCTCAGTGATGAAGGAGGCATTTTATGTCGAACTAAATCTTATGAAAAAGCACATAACTGCTCTGGCTATTCTAGAATATTTTGCTATAATAGCCAAATCAATTTTGAGAAAGAAGAACAAAGCTGGAGGCATCACACCTCCTAATTTCAAACTATCTTACAAAGCTACAGTAATCAAAACAGTATGATATTGGCATAAAAATAGACACATAGATCAATGGAACAGAATAGAGAGCCCACACATATATGGTCAATTAATATACGACAAAGAAGCCAAGGATATACAATGGGGAAAGGACAGTCTCTTCAACAAATGGTGTTGGGAAAACTGGACAGCCACATGCAAAAAAATGAAAATGCACCACTATCTTACACCATACACAAAAATCAACTCAATATGAATTAAAGACTTGAATGCAAGACCTGAAACCATAAAACTCCTAGAAGAAAACATAGGGGAAAAGCTCCTTGACATTAGTATTGGCAATGATTTTTTGGATTTGACACCAAAAGGCAATAAAGCAAAAATAAACACGCTGGACTACATCAAATAAAAAGCGTCTGCACAGCAAAGAAGCATCAACAAAATGAAAAGGCAACCTACTGAATGGGAGAAGATATTTGCAAATTATATATCTGATAAGGGGTTAATATCCAAAATATATAAAGAACTCATACAACTCAATAGCAAAAAAACCCAATTAAAAAACGGGCAGAGGATCTGAACATTTTTCCAAAGAAGACACACAAATGGCCAACAGGTACATGAAAGGTGCTCAACATCACTAATCATCAGAGAGATGCAAATCAAAACCACAATGAGATGTCACCTCACACCTGTCAGAATGGCTATTATCAAAAAGACAAGAAATAACAAGTGTTGGCAAGGATGTGGAGAAAAGGGAACCCTTGGGAACTGCTGGTGGGAATGTAAATTGGTGCAGCCACTATAGAAAACAGTACAGAGCTTCCCCCTAAAATTAAAACTAGAACTACCATATGATCCAGCAATTCCACTTCTGGGTATTTATCCAAAGGAAACAAAAACACCAACTCAAAAAGATATATGCACCCCCATGTTCATTGTAACATTATTCACAATAGTCAAGACATGGAAACAACCTAAATGTCCATTGATGGATGAACAGATAAAGAAGATGTGGTATGTGTGTATATACATACATATATATATATATGTATGTATATGTATGTATATACACACACACACAATAGAATATTGTTCAGCCATAAAAAAGAATGAAATCTTGCCATATGCGATAACACGGATGGACTTGAGGGTATCATGCTAAGTGAAATAAGTCAGAGAAAGACAAATACTTTATGATATCACTTATGTGGAATCTAAAAAAATAAAAAACAAAATACCAGACTCATAGATAACAAAGCAGATTGGTGGTTGCCAGAGTAGGGTGGTGGGGAGTGGGTGAAAGGGGTGAAGGGAGTCAAAAGGTGCAAACTTCCAGTTATAAGATAAGTCATGGGGATATAATATGGTGACTACAGTTAACAATACTGTCCTGCATATTTGAAAGTTGCTAAGAGACTATGTTTTACAAGTTCTCATCAAAAGAAAAAAAAATTTGTAACTGCGTGGTGATGAATGTTAACTAGACTTATTACAGTGATTTCTCAATATATACAAATATTGAATCATTATTTTAAAAAAAGCACCTGGACACGGATACTGTCGATGGACTGAGACACCCACTGAAAGCCCTATGTGCTCAGTCCCACTTCCCCTCTAGGAGCCACCTTCTCACTGGGAGGAGCCCAGGCATCCTCGGGCCCTGTCCTCCCCCGGTTTATTTCCCTGCCTGGTTAGGCTTCACTTTCCGATCCCACACTTCATGTCTCCCAAACGTCCCACTAAAAGGATTATGCCACAAAGCCCTCCATATCCCTTAGAGATATTGTCCTGTCTTTTAAAATCCTTATCTAAGTCAAAGGTCGTGTTTTGTATGTTTTCAAAAATAGATCATTGGTAATTATGTTTGTTGAATACTTTTTCATCAACAAACTTTACAGCATAGAGTGAAAATACACAGAACCCAGTATTAAAAATCTAAATCAAAAAGAAAAAATACCAATACCAGTATTGCTCTCTCTGATAAAATTAACAAAGTTCTTAAATATAGCAACTTATTAAAATTCTGTTTCTTCAGAAGACAACACTTAAATCTATTGCTCTGCACTATGTAACTAACAGTACAAAAAAAATCACAGTACTAATTCTGGAATGATTCTTGTTTTTGATATGAATTTGTAGGGCTGAAATGCTCAAATGCATACATACTCTTCATTTGTTTAAGAAATTAAGATAGAAAAATAGAACGCTTTTTATTTGGAGAATTTTATGCTCTCATAAAATATACTCGTCTCGAGTTGCTCAGCCACGAGCTGAATACGAAGTGACGAGCGTCACTAATGGAGGAGCACAGGCCTGCAGCGGAGTTTTTTTCACTATTTGTCAAAGGCACCTAGTTTTGCTATTAACCTTCTTAACTGGCAGCTACAGTAAGACATGGAGACAGACAAGCAGAGAACAGTGGCGAGAATGTGAGGCATGGCCGAGCGGACACAGCACGTGAAGCAAACCGGGTACTGTACCTGCTTGTTGTTGTCAGTGGTACAGCACAGTTTCTTGAGGGAGACAAAATGCCTAATTTTCCTAATAACATAAATAATCAGTTATTAGTGAGTCAGATACGAGATGATTCAACAAATCAGCAAATGAAAACATCAACAGAATCTTCTTAAAGCAAAACTCCAGGGTCCATCTGAAGGCAGATTTAAAACTCAAACGAAACCCAAACCACAGAAAACGCGTTTTTCACATACAGCCCACACCCGCCTTCAAAAACCGTGCTTTCCTTTAATCAGAGCCAGCTCAAAACACCGTCCTAATGGGCATCTCGTTTCATAACTCAGTCCTGAAGCTTGTCTCCTCCATATCTTCAGCGAGAGGATGAAATGCTCCTCCAGACAAAATTGGTTTTAATTCTGCTGACACTAATAATTTTATAGCTTATATAAAAAGCAGAAGACTCATTTGGACAATGACCAAATTTCCTGGTTGCTGTTTTTATATTTAACATTCCATATTCTTTCACAGCACAGTCATCATAATGATGACATTTTTCAGGCAGAGAAAAATCTTCTTATTTCAAGGTCGTGGACAGAATCCCCCAGCAGCCTCCGGTCTGGGTCATTATCACTAAGGAGACCAGGCAAAGACTACAGGTGCCTCGGCCCTGCACAAAACTCAGCTCAAGGCAGGTTTTCTCCTGCGAGTGAAGCCAGGACTTCCAGGGGCCTACGTTCGATTCTCCAGTAATGAGTCCCCCTCTCTCTCTGGCTCAGTTTTCGCTGGAGGACTCTAAAGAGTGAATGGAAAATACTGGTTTTCTGTCATGAGCTTCACTAAACAGGGAGAGGTAAAATTTCCCTACTTTTAATACGAATTTCCTCTAATAGCTCAATGCCTACAATTGAGGAAAAAATAACAGTGGAAATTATGCCTAGAGAAAAGAACTTCTCTCTCTTATGTGTAAAATCAGAAAGATCAGAAAAAATCATTCTGACAGAAATTACTGGGCAGTCGCCTGTCCCCTCTGCCTTGGTTACCTAACAATTCTGGTCACACATGAAGTGAATCTCAGCTTCAATGTTCTGAGAAGAGGGTCTGAGGATGATGATAGCAACAACGTGAAGCCAGCGTGGCCTCCGAGCACTGACCACTGGAGGTAACGGCCACGCCGAGGCCTTTGCGCTCAGGAGGAGGGCCTGGCAGCCTCTTCCTGTGCTCCTGACCCCTGGCCAGGGCCTGCCAAGTCCCTACACCCAGGGTGAAGCAAAACGGCAGGAAACAGACAGTGGTCTCCGAACTGAGGGGGAACCATTTCGCAACTAACTAAACAAGTAAAACTGGAGGGAACCATCCTACAGATCCTCTGCTGACTTTACGCAATGTCTCGTTTTCCCACCACACGACGGCCTGCAAGGAGCTCAGGAGGTCCTAAGAGTCACGGACAGGACTCGCCTCTTCCAGTTACTGGCACAACAATTGCCACCTTTCCTTTTTCCAAAATGTCACACAAGGGTGTGTGTCTCTTGTAAGTCTGAACTATGGTGCTGACCTTCGGGCTGGTTTACAAAGGCTCCTCAGGGATGTACTGACAGGGGATCTTGTTTGGCTTCGTAAACCTTCTCACAAACTTTAACTGGGAGAAGGAAAAGGAATTGCCTATTTACCCTCTCTCTCCACAAATGACTAGGCTTTTCTGGCAAGCTGAGGTTAAATGGAATCAGAGCCCTTAGCTTCTGGTCAGACACACCCTTCTCTCCATAACCAGGACCTCCAGGGTGCTCCCCCTGTGGAACAGCCCCGAGCCCGCCTGGGGAGAACCAGCCCAGAGCCGCAGCCTCAGGAGAGAAGGGTGGCTCCAGTGCAGGGCTGTGGCTGGGAAGCCCTTTGCTTTGCTGTTCTTATGAAGGGGGAAGGCCTAGAAACCGCGCTTCTTCAGAGGGCAGCGGGGACAATGGAACCACTGATGACCAGGTGGAGGTGGGCAGTGGGGGATGCTTCAGAAAGACCTAAGCAGGAGGAGACGGGGAGGGAAAGCCACGTCTGGGGGTTGTTGCTGGCCACGTGGAGGTGTTCTGGGTATATCCCACGTACAGCCCAAGCCGACTGTATTTGTAGGTCTAGCGCTTACACCAGCACTTCAATACGCAAACCCAATGCCCACACAGGCCCTTCAATTAAAAGAGTTCAAGAGTTTGCTCTCACCCTCCTTGGCCAATCACTGGGGTGATCTTCACGTGCTGTTGGATGCTGTCCCCGGATTTCCGTCTGGCATAGTAAACCCCCTGCCACTCCTACATGGAAAAGAGAGCTCTTAAAATCCTTCCATCAAGGGTTACGGCTGCTCCTACAGAGGGTCTTATCAAGTTGAGCAAGAAAGTTCCCACATGCTTTCATTACATTCCACAAAACGCTGCCCTATTGTTGTACCCGCTGTGATGCTGACTACGTAAGGCTCACAGTCACAATGCGCCAAGACCACAAGACCAATGTGTCCCCCCCAGGCTGCCCCTCCTGGGTCCCAGGACACCTGACCAGTGGGGGGGAGTTCCTGCTCTCAGTCCTGTGGGTGTAAGGGCACCAGGCCAAGGGATTCTTCTGGGGTCTTTCTCAAAATCTTAACAACAACCTGTGAGTGTGGTATTATCATCCTTAATTTACAGATGGGTAAACTGAGGCTCAGAGATTCTAACTAATTTGCCCACATTAGGAAGTGGAGGATCTGGTTATAAATTCGTGTCTCTTAACTCTCCTCGAAGTCTGTCATCTTTCTATCAGCCTATGGGTCCTCCAGCCAAGACTTCTCTACTTCTCTGGGGTTCGTCTGGCTCCCGGCAGTTTCCAGGATGAGGCAAAGGGGAGTGTGAAGACTTCTGCAGTCTCTGGACCCGGGGAACTGGCTGGAATGAAGAGCCTAGCGACCTCAAGGGGAAACCTGGGGCACCTCTGCTGCTTCTGGGAGTGGTTAAATCAGAGCCTCTTCTTGCCCCCTCTCACACGAGATGGCTGCCTGGTATGTTGGGGTCACCAGGTGTGCAGCAGCATTCTTCTGCAAATTTTCTTGGAGTATCTGCCAGCATCCTGTTTCCTTTTCAGTCTCACTGACCTATTTTTTTAAAATTAATTTTGGCCATCATATACAACCCAAACTTATGTTATTCCTGTACATTGTCCCCCATTAAATGAATACAATGCTTATCTAACTACTTCACATCAGAGAAAGCAAGATGAAAGAAATAACACGTGAGAAAGCATTCTGAATGCCTAAAGGAAAATGCACAGGCAGTTCCAGCTCTGAGAGCAGTGCTCCTCTGGAGGGGAGGGCCTGAGGGGGAAGGCCTACTGCATCGACACCATCGCGTGCATCTACTTGGATGAGGTGGAAGCCACTGGACAAACTGGAGTGGCAGGCAAAAGTAAGCTCTATGTCTCTAATGAGCTGTGTTGAATGAAGAGAACAACAACAAAAAAAAGAGACTGAAAACTAGGCCTACATGTAAATACTGATATTAAATATTTCTAGTCCCCCAAATGCTGGATAAATTGAAAAACACACAACAGCCTGGGGGTGGAACTCTGCTCAGACATAGGAATGACATTCCAGCAGCAACGGGTGGGATATATTCATGCAAAGGATGACATCTCCTTATACAAAATCATCAGATTCTACATCATCATGGTAAGCACCAGATTCGCTTGATGTCTAAAATTAACTAAAAAATTAACTCATTTTGCAAATATAAAAGATCTTTCACTTAATTGTAATGTTATTAAAGAAGCCAACTTTAAAGACGTGACATAAAGACTCAGAAAAAAATTCCCTGGGGAGGGGGTCTGCGGGTCTGTTTGCTGCACCCACCTTGCCCTTCTTGATGCACGTGTTGATGGTGTCGAGAAGGTCTGCCCGGTTCTTGTCGCTTTTGGGCAGCTCTGCGAGTTCTTTCCCCAGGAGCTCGCCTTTGTGGTAGCCCATCATCTGTTCAAAGGCTGGGTTGACGTACTGTGAAGGGGAAGTGGTTACAGGTCAGCGCGGGGACATATGCGCCCCGCAGGTACGTTCGCTGGGACGCAGAGGAAACGTGCTGGAACGTCAAGCAAGAGGTTCCCGAGGCCAGTGCTCCCTAATGCGGGGGCCGACCAGTCCCCCCATCCAAAGGCCCCCTGGAGCAGCTGCCTCCCTCTTGAGCAGCCATGTATCCACTGAACCGCCATCCCAGCATCCTGGTTCCTGCGGGGAAATCCGAACAAATTCCTCAGCAGGAAAAGAGGGAGAAGCCCTCATCTGGTAGTCCGAGCCTCTGGAGGGCCTTATTCATCACCTACCACTCATGAAATAAGGAAAACATCGGAAAAAAACAAGAAAATTAATTAGAACTCAATCTAACAGGTTGTGGCTTACATTAGTCACGTCTCTACGAGGCAGCAATCTGATCTCTCCTGTCTCCTAGTAGACACGATCTATTAACCAATGCTACGGCTTGGGGCCCCTTCCACTCTCATCTGAACAATAAGTTCAGTTACGCGGCTCGGGCAGGAGGCCCCTTTCGGTGCCAGGCACAGCGCGGGTGGGAGGAGAGGCTCCCCTCACACGTTCTGGGGCTGGCAGACCCTGAGGTTTCTTTCCAAAATTCTGCCCAGGGCCCTGGAATTCAGAGCTATTACCTTCGCTGCCTCCCAGCTCCCTGTCCCCCCCCTCCAGTGTCTTCTCCAAGAACACAGTCACCAGATGAGGAGCTGAGTGGAGGGACAAGGGACGAAGAAGCTGGGAAGTGGGAGCATGCTGCGTCTAGGTCACGGATGTCTCTGGGCATAACTTACATCCACCTGCTGCTTCAGGGGCCTTCTTACAAATGCAGTCAGGCTCGCCCTCCACGGTGGTGACCACAATAAGGAACTGGATGTGGCAGGGACACTCGGGGCACTGTTCCCTCAGGGACACAGCTTCTACTAACACAATTAACCCCAGGAGTCAGAGGCAATGGGAGGCTGTTCTGAGGCCCTCAGCACCAGGCCTTATGGGAGCGAATGAGGAGGAGGGGATGGTGACATTGTCTTCACTGATCTCCTATCACATACAGGTGGCAGTCACTCCCCTCCCTGGGCAGGTCAGCCCCACAGCTCCCTGGCCCACCCCTGCCCACTGCTAAGCTGCCTCACTTCTCCCTCACTCTGGGCCTTTGCCCACGTGCCCTCTCTGCTTAGCACACTATTCCCCATCCCCTTGCCTCACCAACTCTGATTTATCCCTCCCCTCCTCCAGCAAGCCATCCTTGGCCCCCTGCCCATCTGAGTCAGTGCCACCCCTAAGGGCTCCCATCTCCTGCGCAGGCTTCTAGTGACACATTACACTGAATCTAAATTTTTGTTTATTTATCTCTCCCCCAACTAGACATTAAAATCCTCAAAGGCAAAGACTACTTTGGATTTATATCTTTGAATACTCAGGACTGTTTAGTAAGTATTTGATGAATGGATCATATTTGAGAATGTATCGTTCGCCTTATTTGTTAGCTAAGTTCTCATACATTTTCACATGTGTTTACTCTGCCTTTGCTGTTAGGTTACAAATATGGGTAGAAGTCACGGCCCTTTGTTCACACCAGGGTTTCTGTAACCTTAGAATGCAGCAGGTACAGCAGACATGGACTCTGGAGCCAAGGGACCCAAGTTCAAATCCTGTCTCTGCCAGTTCCTAGCTACTCGACTGTGGGCAAGTTACTCCTCTTCTCTGGTCCTCAGTCTCTTCATCTGTAAAATAACTACAGGAGTAGTAACCTGGTTCATAGGATTGTTTTAGGAAATAAATGAGTATATATAAAATTCTGAGTACCGTGCCCGGCACATGATAAGCACCATGTAAGTGTTTTAAAGCAAACAGAGGGAGAGTTCAGCTTGATTCATGGATGAATAGACAGACGGATGGATGGATGGACGAATGGATGGGTGGGTAGGTAGATAGATACTGTTCCTAAATTTTAAGTGCTAATGCCTGATCTCTGAACATTTGCCCTCAAGAGGCACGTACTCCTCTGAGGCAGTGCCCTGAGAAGGAGCTGGTATTGAGTAAGAACATATATGAAGTATTCCATACATGATGACTCATCTCGAAATCTATAGCACAAAGGTCATTTTAATTTCCCCCTTACATATAACAGCCTCTATTCAACTTCTTCCTCCATGCTCTTGTTTTGAGTTTTATATTCAGATTGCTGGTAGGTTTTTAAAGGGCCCTGAAAGAGTTCCCAAGAAAAAACCCACCATCAGTATAGTTTTCCTTTCACTGCAGCCACCCCCCGCTTCCAGGCCCCCACTGTCCTCAGCCTGTCTCTTCCTGTTCATGATAAAGGCTGGGAGGTGATTAATATCATGTGACACCATCACCCTATTACCCTTCCCAGAGATACAGAGTTTCTAACCAGCAGTTGCTTGCTGTAGAATGAGGGACTGCTCCCTGTTAAAGGAGTCATCTGTTAGCTTAGAAGTGAGGAAGGTGGGGAGAGAGCAGAGGCTCCTTCTCCTCATTACTGAAATCACAGCCTGGCTGCTCCCTGCACAAGAGCGAGGTGCAGAGCAAATGTGTTTCATGAATAGAACTGACTGTTCAAGTCTGGATATAAGTGGGGGAGAGTTGGAATTCATGCTTGGTCCGTAACAGAAACCTGTCTGATTCCTCTGAGGTCCAGGACACAGATCATGGGCAGGAGGCCAGTAATAGGCAGCAATGTGAGGAAGCCTTCAGATCCATTTCAAGGAGCAGCCAGAAAAACAAACTCTATAAATATAGCCAAACAGGGAACTGGGTTGGAAGGCTTTGGAGTCGGAAAGACATGGCTACATATTTTGGTTCTAACACTTATTACTGGGGCTTTCCTTGGGTAAGTTCCTTGCCCTTACTGGGCCTCAGTTTCCCCCATCTGTATTACACAGCACTTATGCCTCTTTCATAGCGCTACTGAACAGCAATGAGAGAACCTTATGAACATGTTGATGACAGGGCCTAGGCCTGGTGGGCTGCTGATGTCACTGGCCTGGTGTGAGCAGGTGTGTCTGTGTGTGGTGGAGGTTCACAGAAAAGCAAGTGTGAGGCCCTGTTGTGGGGCCCGTGTGGGGTGTACTGCCTTTGGTCTCTACTGATGTTAGCAAGGGTTCCTCACACTCAGTGCCATTATGCAAACCAACTGCAGGCAGGCCAGGACCCATCAAGAGCAAAGACTACATTTCAGAGTATTTTTCAAGTGTTAATGTCTTACTTTCCAACAAATATAGTAAGATGCTTCAACAAAGGTTTGTCTACTAGACATACTTCCCTAGGATGATGACTTGAGCACATAAGAGCGCTTTTTAATTAGAATTCCAACTGCAGGCAAATAAGCGTGTGCCTTTGAAAATATCTTGTTCCCATAGGCAATTATGAGCATCTGCTCTACAATTCTGATATCCTTCTGTATAAATGCTGTCTTCACTGACAGTCCAAAGAATTTACCCCACCTCTGTCAAAGAAATCACAGCTCCAATCTGAATTCATAATTTTTTATTCTTATTGAATATCTAATTCTTAGCTTAAGTCTATCAGTTTTCTCTGCATTCTTTGGTGTTCCTTTCTCCAAAGAAAATATGCTGAAATGTGAGAATTATGGGAAAGTACTTGAAAAAGGGTGGCTCAAACTTGAAAGGCTCTATTTTGACATTTAGAGATAAAAAGTGTCTCCACACCTGAATCACGTGGTCATCGCTTGTTATCTCGATGGCTTCATGACAGTGGTCTAATGCTGTAAAAACTGAATTACAGGCCCTGAAAGTTGCAAAAGATCGATGTTAGTTCTGCTATAAAACCATTAGCGTTTCATCTGTTCATTTATCAAAGTAAACAGTTCCTCAAATTCATTAAAACCATGGACCTTTTGGTATTATGTTTTGAGGGAAAACAACAGCCTTTCAAACTAAATGAATAAACAACACCATATATTTCTGCAAATATGATACAAAGAAAAGAACTGTAATCCAACAAAATCTTCATGAGTCATGGAATGAACTACATATGTGCTGCATGAAACCTTCATACTGACATGAGAGAACAAAGATGCAGGAGACTGTCTTGTGGGTCCCTATGTTCTACATCAATTATGCTCTTCTGTTTCATCCATAGTGTGGTCATGGAGAAGTCAAGTCCATCCCCACCAATTAGGAGAACATAATTAAGCCCAAATTGGATGTGAGGTATTCTGGCCTTTTGTAACAGACACAGACATTTTTTCTCCTTTCTTACTTTCATGGTCTCGGATGAACAAGCCTTTAAGGCACTTGGCTTTCAACCACACCCACTGGCATGATAAAAGGCAAAGATGGCAGAACTACCCTCGCCTGGTTAACTGTACAGCTCTCGAGGTGGGCACTTTTCTGGGTGACCTTCCTTGTATATCTGGAATATTTGAAATCACTTCAATTTCTCAATTTCTTGGTTAGAATCTTAATTACCTTCCAAATCTAGAGCAATTCCAAATACAGTAAGTTATTTACTATCTAACACAGCAAGTATGTAGCTAGTTCCTAAAGCTTCGGTATTTGTACTGGCTGTTTAAAGAATCCCAGTGAAGGCTTTCTTACACATTACCAAAAAATGTTGATTTACTACATTGATGTTTCTTCTTATAAAACAAACTCTTAAAATGTTATTCATTTTTTCCACTCATAAAGGCATCTAACTTTGCCATCCTGTTCACACTGTTTACAAGGGAGAGGGCAGAAAAAACTGGGTGAAATCTAGCTCATATTTTGCCACTTACAGGGGCTCGGGCAACTATTTATCTTCACTGGCCCTCAGTTTCCTTATCTATAAAATGAGGATAATAACACATATTTTACATGTTGTTATAAGGATCAAAAGAGATGGTTTAGGTGAGGCATTTCTCAAAGTGCTTGGGACAATAGTAAAAATTCAACATGTGGTTCTTGTTATTATTTGTAAGATCCCAGAGTAATATTTCTTTGTTCTCTAAGGCTTTCAAAGACTGTTGGTGAAAAGAAAAGCAAATCATAACCTATCTTTTCTCATGAGTATACTTGAGATATCCAACCAAGAACTGCAGTCAGTAATAGCAAGTAACCCGCAGGGGAGTGAAGGATTGCAGCCCACTGGAGGACAGTGCTCCTACAGCTGCAGAGATGAAGGCACCAGAGTGGGCGGGTGAGTAAAATAAGTCATGGTGACGGGGGTGAGCAGGAGAACGTAAACCTAACTCATCAGAGACTCTCGATGGTGCAGTATGTTTTCTTATGTAAACTGCTCCCAGGCTACCTAATTCGAACCACATACTGTCCTATTAGCATTGCTGCCTTTGTAAATAAGATCACTTAAAATAAGAATAAAAGGGGACTATAAAATTGTTACCAAAGTCACTACTGCACCGTCTCTCATGAAGAGGCAAACAAGAGCCAGTCTTGTCAGAAGTCTTTTCCAGGCACCTGGGTCCAGAACCCGACTCAACACCATAGGAAAGCATTCCCTGGCTCCCAGAAGTTAGACGTGGAAAGGCACACTCGTTGTGGGCTAATTCCTTAACTGTGAGAGCTGGATAATTAAGCTCTAACACACTTTATCAAATGATAAATTCCTCTCTTGTCCAAGTATTTTCTTAAAGTACCTGCAAGTCTCAACTAAGTATGCGAACAGGTACTTCAGACTATTTTTGTTTTTGTCCATCAAAGAGGCTGTCTTAGCTCCAATCTCCAAAATTCATCTATAACACATTCATCGTATCATTATCCACAAGGCATAAAATCTTCAGTAAGAATAATGCCCAACGGGACAAAGCAAAATCCTTATGAACAGTTGAGGTGAAACGATATTGGTAGGATTAATAACATTACTTTCTCCCAGTGACCAACACGACTGGACTGCAATGTTTAGATCTAGGCTTTAAACCAATTTGGTTGATAGCTCTGTATAAATAAACCTGCAGCAAAATGAGGTAATCAATTTGAATCATGTTCCTAGAGTTTGTGAATTTAATTGCTTGTATTAATTATTAACACTCTTCATGCTGAGGAGCCGTAGCTTTATTAATTTTCTGTGCTTGGGAACCATATAACTCTGCACCTCAAATGTATTTTCGAATCTTTCAGGTTGGGAAGTGGGAAAATTGGGACCAGCAGCTCAAGGTAACCTTGTAACCCCGGTGGGAAGGCCCTGAAGTGCAGCAGCGTAACCACTGTCCCCTCACCTTCTTGAGGGCCCTTGAAGGCCCAGAGGGAAAAGGCAAACGTTCCAGGGGCCCAGGTCTCAGGTCTACAAAGAACACAGTGGTATGATGGGGTGCAGAGTGCATCAGACTGAAAAGCAGGACGCCTAGATTCGACTCCAGTGCTGCCACCAACACACCAGGTAGCTGAGATGGTGTCAAGTGTCTCCCTGGTCCTCGGTGTTTTCCCTTGGTCAGTTGTGACTGGGGTGGTTGGGTTACATGATCTCCTGTATTTCAACCAAAGGTACCCTAGAATCTACTCACACAAAGCACACACACACAAACTGAGGCCAGCTGGAGCACGGGTACAGTGGGCAAGGCAGTGGCATGTAGGGAGAAGATCCTGAACCTCAGTCCACACCCCAGCAGGGGTCTAGGAGGGGTGGTGAGGGAGGAGCAGAGGCAGCAGGGGGTCATGGACTTGTGCCTGGTCAGCCCTCTTCCTGGGCAGTGATGCCATATGGGCCGGTTACTCTAAACCTTCACAGCTCAGGGTCTACTCCTGTAACACAGTGGCTGTCAGGCAGAGCCCACGTGAGCGCAAAGCACTCCATAAATGTCTGTTAACTCGGAGAGATATCGTGTTCCACGGAATACAAAGTCTGCCCATCAGAAACCGATTCTTTCTAAAATGGAGGACTGCTACTGTCTTCAGGCTCGGAGCAAAATAAACATGATGGTTTGGGCATAACTCCCAGATAACAGATATAGACTGACTAATGATGAAACAACAGCTAGTACTGCATCAGTATAAATGGATCAGCTTAAATTTTGATACGTAGCTAAATCCTATGTGCATCTGAATAACACAGTTCTTTTCATGATAAGGAGGCATAAGAACATTAGAAGATAATGGTCATCATTCAGCCCATATTTCCCTAGACATTCCCCATTTCATGAATTCTTCTGTTCAACAAGGTAATTCATCAAATGTACACAGAAATGTGATTTAGTCCCTCTGTCTTTAAAAGTTACTCTATACGATGGAATTTTAAAATTAGATATTTTTTGTTTGATCACATGATCGTCTTTTTTCTTAGTTAAGTAAGTGTGGTTACCATCCATGAAGACCTGGACAGAGGTGTCTACCTTCAATATTCGACATTGTCCTTGCAGTACAGACTGTCCTTGCAGAATGCTAGTAATGCCACATATTTAGCTGCAGCCGGGGGTGGATTCGCAGGGAAAAGTATTATATAATTAGACTATAATTGTTCTGGCATTGTATAATAAAGAGCCTCACTTTCCCAGTCTGCGGCGAGTGACAGAGTTGCCTGCCTGCCTCTGGGGTGCACGTAGATGCTCTAGATGTCCTTGAGTGCCCTGAGGAGTTGGGGAAGATCATGGTATGGGTCACCGTCCCCCCATCTGCTGGGCCCAGATCTAGTACAGCCAGGGAGAGTCAAACCATGCACACACACCCCACTTGCCCAATGTAAGGGAAGGAAGTTGGGGATGGCTGACGTGGAACCAGCCAAAAGGGAACAGAAGGAACCGACCCCTTAGTCTTCCTCCGGCCTTCCCCTGTGGAGAACTCTTGCCTTCCTTTCCCCGCCACGTGGGCTGCTCTCATGCTGGTTGCTGGTGACTTGGCTCTACCAGCCAAGCTTAAGCTGATGTGGAAGGTAACGGGATCAGTGCCAGGCAAACCCACCCTCCTGGGGCCGCCACCTGCCTGGGTCAAGACCACTCATCAACTTCACACTGATCTGCATTAAGACCTTGAGTCTTTTCATCATGATGGCTACAGTGGGTCCCACTCCCCCAGCCAGCTCCAGGCAGTGAGAGGTGAGAAGTTATGGGACTGACGTAGTGTTAGGTACTCAGAAACTTGCCAAGTTCTGAACCTTGAAAACTTTTCAGTGCCCTGGCTCCAAGCAAATTTCATCAGTGCAGTAATCCAAAGCCCCTTCTTTAATCCCTTGTGCTGGCTGGGGAGGTTTATTTCAAACTGCCAGACCTGCCTTCACCTCACTCCCCATGGACAAGGCACCTTCTGACATCTCACATGCGCCATCATATTTAATGTTGCCTAAGAAAACCCAAGCAGTTATTTAAAACAAAATGAGGGAATTACCTACCAAGGCACTAAGGTGTGTGCTATTCCTTTTTGTTGTAGATAATACACAGTTGAATTAAACCAAACTGAAATCCCTCTTTTTCTAATTCTATTGTGAAAACATCCAAAATAAAAGTACAAAGTCTTCTTATCCTCAATTAAAAACAGTAGAGACTCTCAGGAATAAAAACAACTAATATATGATATTAAAAATCATAAATTGCTTAAGTAAAGGCAATATGGTTTTCTTGAGAAATTCTATGAAGTTCTCTGAAGCTAATAAATATATGGATACAAAGAAACTAAGGGATTTAACTTACTTCTACTCTCAAAAATCTTTGGCAATATTCCTCGCCAAAGACTGTTAAAATACCTGAATTTCCACTAGCTTGAGACTCTTTTTCAATACTTTCCCACCTAAGATAGTGACAGTTCATCCCCACACTTTATTCCTCAAAGCTCTCTATCCACCAAAAAGCTACTTCCCTGACCAGGGAACCCCAGAAGAACTTGCCTCTGTGGGTTTATGCCAATCTGTTTTGCTTCCAAAGGACAGAGGATGGCAGAGAAAAATTAAGTTTAAAAAGGGTTTTGGCCCCTTGGAATGCAAATTAAGTAATCAAGATAAGAAGTACAATCAATACCATGAGATGCTATCTCACTTATTTTTCCACTGAGCCTGAAACCATCGTGACCTTCCAGTGGGCCAGCAAGAGAAGCCATGCCAGGGACCTCTGGCATCTTACAGGTGGAGCCACTGGGGACTGGCCTCACAGGCGCGGTAGGATGGGAAGAGCCTCTTCCTTCCCCTGCTTTCTCTCTGCTCAAGGGGGCGGGCTGAAGAAATCAGGATCCTGAGAACGTGCCAGAGCGGAGCCTGAGCAAAACCAAGCTTGAACTAGGACCTTGATAGTCCAAGACGTCCCAGAAGCAGAACATCCCACCACCCTGAGTTCTAGCAGCAGCCAGACACTCAGACTCCCTTTCCACAAGTGAGCGCCAGAGAGAAACCTGGTCTTAAAGCACTATATACCTGTAAAGAGACTTAAAACCTATAAAGAGACTTTGTGCATATCAAGGCCACAAAGAGACCTCCCAAAATTGCTATTGTGGTTATGTAGCAATTATTATGGTTAGCATAATAAATATACCCACTGGTTTGTCCCTATCCATAACAATCCAAGTAGGAATTTATAAATGTTGAAAGTAGTTAAGTAGAAAGTAATCCTCAAAGGTTATTCTTAATCTCGATCTAATTGTACAAAAATTAAACAGTACTTTTCCTAGGGTATAATTTTAAAACTGCTATAAATAGTGGAAAATACTGTCCAAAGAAGAAATGCTGCCAGTTTATTTCAGTACACCAAAGGGCTCCCAGTTTAGAATCTGCCGTTTACCAGCTACCATTACCTGTTTAATGGCTTCAAAATCCCTAGGATTCAGCTGGGAACCTATGAACATCAGCCTGATGACAGACAAGTTTTCTACAGAATTTTTAACCTCATGTCCTGTCTCACTTTGCTACGTACCGTAATTTGAACTGTGAGCGAACTTCCCCATGTTCTATTTGAATCAGTTCATTATAGCAAGCAATTATGCTGCTATTCTCCATAAATCTCTGAAAAGAAAGCAAAGATAATACTTAAGAGATACAATCACTTCTTGAAGAGTCAAATGAAGAAACTTAACAGTTTTTCCACCCCAGGTAACTCTGTTACATAAGACAACTAGTAGGTAAGATGAAATGAAATAAAACAGTTGTCAAGATGTTTGAAATGCTCGTTTAAATGTATGAGAAACAACAGAGCACATAATACTGTACAGTTAACTCCCTTTTATAACAAAGGTGGGAAAATCTTCAATATGAATACTCACAGGAAAATAAACACACAAAGGCATAGAACGCCTCCCCAACCCTGTTAACTACTGAATCGCCTTCACTTTATATAGCACTAATAAGTCTTCTAAAACCCAACACAGGACACATTCCGTGTGTGCTACTCTACAAACGATCTCTTTCGAAGGGAGAGGCCCTTCCTTGCTTCCTTCCTCACCTTTTGAGGGTCTCATGCACTCTCCTCCCTCCTGTCTTACACACACACACACACTCTTTCACACATCTAGCATGGATGGCTTCTCCCTGGGGAACACCTGCAAAGCTCCCTGACTTTCCCTTTCCTCTGGTCCCCACTACTGGGATGGAAGCTGGGAAGGGCTAAGGAAAGAGAGGAAGCTGTGAGCACACACAGAAGGGAAACACTTTCTCTTTTATTTACAAAACAAAGTTAAACACGGTTCAGTTCAGGTTGAGCTCTTGGATGGGTGTAGATCATCTACAAGCCTATACAGACCTCTGAGCATTGTCAGCCGATGCTTCATAAGATACACAAAAGGATCTGTGATAAAATAAGTTTTGAAAATGTTGGAAGAAACAGGGTTAGACAGGTTTTTTTCGAAGACAGAAAGTTTAAAAGTAAACTTTTGTTGTCTAATTATAAAAGTAATACACATTAATTTTAAAGTGTATAAAATATAGAAAAATATAAATAAAAAATCACTGATAATGTCATAAGCTAGAGATATTAATTTTATTATGCCTGTGGGTGTGTATGTGTTAATATGTATATTTAGACACACTCATGTTTATTGTATATATATAATCATGCTATATGTTCATTCTCACATCTAAGTAATAATTTTTTATAATATTTTATTTTTCTTTAGTTGTGCTAAGAAGTTCCATTAGTGAAATACAGTGGTACACTACTTCCAGCAGTGAAGAACAGCTTTCTATAGGTGATGGAGTAGTTCGTTTGCATATAACTGGCACTTAGTGTTTTGTAGACTAAAGGTAATCGAAGATTCTACTGCTTTATCTTTCGGGGATTTTCCAGACTGTAGGTAACCCATATCTCTGAAATAATTTGATGAATCAAGAGCAGTGGTCTTCAAACTTCACCATGCTAAGAATCAACTGGGTGTTCAGTTAAAAATGCAGATTCCTGGGCCCTGCTTCCAGAAATTTAGGTAGGTTTCTTTAGCATAGGACCTCTCAGGGCATTCGATGTGCTCACGTGCAATGTCGCTACTGCGCACTGTGGATCTCAGGGGTGGGAGGAGGAGGAACAGAGTCTTTACTGATTTCCCGAAGTTATTTGACCACAGAAGCCTTTTTTCATGGAACACCTATTAAGAGCTTTTGGAGCTCTAGTGTTCCATGGGGCAGCTTGGGAAATACTACTTTAGTGGACCCAACATGGAATTTGGAGTAAAACATCATGCATTTGCATCTCGACTTTGCTATGAGTATGGGCCCTGGCGAGCTATTTAGTCATCTTAAGCCCATTTCCTCCTCTGCGAAAATGGAGAAAATATCCATTCTCTCACACATACATGAGGATTAAGTAAATCACCTAGAATGGAGCCAGACAAATAATACGTCTTAGCTCTCCACTTCCTCCTCCACAGGAAGCCTCTCAGGGAGGAGCTGGGTCTGACGGTCAGATCCTGGGCATGCCTAGCACATCGCGCTGCACATAGGAAGTGCTCCACGAACACTTGCTGAATCAAATAAGCATCATTTCAAATAGAAGAAGGGGCACACAAAGGTTGACATAAAAACAGCTGCAATCGCCCTCTGCTAAGATGCTGGTTCCTGACAGGCTCAGAGGGAACTGAGCATCACGCAGTCGGCCACTCACTCACAGCTCCAGAGGCTCCAAGGGGAGTTGTTGTGGAATATTTGATGGCACAATTTGTTCCTGGATCGCCACTCAGGGGCCCATACACTGAAGCACTGGCCAATTAGCTAGCAACACAGGGCTGAGTTTCAGCAGATGATTTAATACAATCAAAACAACTCGGAGATGGGAAACGACCTCATGAAAGGCAAGAACAGCTGGCAGATTTGGAAGGGTGCTTGGGTAGAGAGTTGCCAAAGACAAGATTTTGCCCAAAAAAGGAGACCAACCACCTGGAGAGCAGCCTCAGATGATCTTGTGCCACGGTAACCCAGGAGGGAAAGCCTTTGTAGGTGCAGTGTGCTTCCCTCAGAAAGAGCCGGAACTATCTGGGGGCACTTTGACCTGGCTGGCAAAGGCCTTGATCAGAGCCAGCACTAAAGAACACCAGGTGGTCCCTGACATGTACTGTGTTTCATGCTTCCACCAAGGGTTTTGTTCACTGCGGCTGACTGCAAAAAAGCAGCACCATGTCCAGACAGAGTGCAATGAAACCTCTAGAGTAACAGGGACAGGTTACAAAGCACATACAAAGAAAACAATGGAACTTTCCTTCCTAAGTTTACTTAATAGTGTTTGCACCCAAAGAAGGCCAACTGTTTCTTGTGAGTAGATGTGCAATCTCAGCCCTCCAGACAAGACACTAATACTCCAAATGACAGTCTCTATACCAGTCAGAGGTAGGATCACTGAACTAAAAGCTGAATCCAGAAGGACACTCAACAGCACCTACGTGGGTCCTCATCAACATAACTTACAGTGTGTCACTGTTGTTCTCCAGGAATGAGTCCCCAGGTAACGAGGAGAACCTACGTCCTCCCACTCCGAGAGGTCCTACCACAGATGTGAAGGACGAGGATGGGCTGGGGTACAGTGGGCAGTCAACATTAAACAGAAGATCTACAAAACCCATGAAGAATTGTAGGTTATTTCTCAGAAAATCAGTCAGTAAAGAAAAGAAGTCTTAGCCACGTGGCTTCTTTGACAATTTTCCTTTTGCAACTTCCCATCCCAAAACTCATAAGCATTGTCTTCTGCATTCTCATTAAGATACAGCACATAAGAACAGCATTCAGAACCAAATACCAGCCTTTGAGAGATGCAATGATGGACAAGATGAAAGTGTTCAGGGAGCGAGTAATATTGCTAACTAGAAACATTCATTTCATTACACACGTGAACCACTCTGCTACCGTGACTATTTTATACAGCACTGCTACTGCCATGCTGAAATAGACCAAAGCACAAGACAACAGCGTCACAGAGGCCAATTTTGCTTCTCTGTGCTCTACAACACACCCAAAGGAATTTTCATAATTCACAAGGCTCAGGCAGTATCCTACTTTTGAAGGAAAGGAATGCGTCACGCCATCTTTTTGAGATGCAGATTACGCTTGTCAAAAGACCTTGAGATACTAGCCAAGCCTAGTTATTTAGTTTGTTGGTAAGTCTCCTTGGAATAATCAGTCTTAACAAGTTGAACATCAGTGTTATTCATGTAGTTGTCACTCAAAGAATTTTCGTTGGCTGACACGGTTTAAACCAGGAGTTCACAGGATGCTATAGCCATCACGGGCCTGTCCCAGGACATGAGCTCCTGCTAGGCCCTGTGAACACAGCATCCTGTTGCTTATTTGGTGGACTTATTTATATATAATGACACACACATACACACACACACACACGCGCGTGCACGCACACACTCACACTGAATCTAACTGACTGGACTGATTTAAGTGAGATTACTTTGGAACTACAGAATTTTGACCTGATATAATAAGATGTGTTTCTACATCATTACTTATCTGTAGCTAAGATATACAAAGTTATGAGAGAAAAAGGAAAAAAATTTGACTAGGAGTTATTCCTAACTATCCCTTGAGAACAGCTCCTTCCTTTCCCTCACAGTCCCGGGGCTTAATTCCCTTAACAGTGACCTGTGGGTGTTCGACGTTGCTGTCACGGGAGCATCAAGGGTAAGACGCTTGCCTGAGGGAGGTGCTGGTTCATCTGGTACGTACCCTGTTGAAGCCTGCGTGCAGAAGAGGGAGGACTGAGGCCTCTTCATGGTCACCTGATCTGCAGCAAAGCAGAAAATGTGGTCACTCAGCAGATACAAACCAGGATTCCTCACACCGGAACATGGAGAGAGAGCAATGAAGCTGACACAGTGTTGGCTCTAAGAGTGGCCTACTGACCAGCACGTGCCCACATGTACACCTGCCTTCAAGGACCTAGACTCCCACATCTGCCTTCCAGATGCAAAAAGAACAACAGTAGAGAAAACTCCAGCAGTGTGCCTGAAAGCCTCACCCCAGGTACACATGAGTGGCCCTCACCAACTCTGCACTGCCTTGGGAGTTGGAGCAAATGAAAGGGAGCAGTCCCATAAAGGGACCAGGTAGGTGCAATGCTCAACCCAGAGACCGCTGCCCTCTTTGCTGTCCCCAAAGCTTCTGGAAGCATGACTCCCACCCCGAGACCTAGCTGGGTCCAACTCTCCACGTGAGAAAGAAAACTGTCATAGCATCCCATGGCCAAATGGGAAAGAAATGTCATCAGGGATGCAAAGTCAGAGGGGAGGAGGAGAAAAAACTGATTATTGCCACTCATTTCACAGGCAGGTTTCCTATACTGAGCCTCCAGGTGGGTTTCAGAACTTCGGCTTGAGTAGGAGGTCAGCTTATCGCGAAGATATGCCGTAGCTGTGCTGCCACCGTCAGACAACGGTGTCCCTGACACAGCCAGTAAGTAGGATGGAGTGCAGACCTCAGAAAATAGGGAGGAAAAATGGAATAAAAGGGATGGGTGCAGGAGCAGATAGAGAAGAGAAAGAGAAGCCCCAGGGCTTATGTGTGGTATTACCTGTAGCTGATTCCTGCCCTACAGGGAACAGCTGTCTTCCCCACTCCCCTTTTCTCCTCGGGAACTCAGGGTTCTACCTTCTCTAAAGGATAAATCAAGAGGGGCACAAAAGGTTCCAAAAGTATCAATAATGTTCTATTTCATAAGCTGAGTGGCACAAACTCAGCATTCATTTTATTATTACTCTCTCTATATATGAAATATTTTAATGAAAAATAACAAGCCACAGCAAACCGTTACTTGTCAAGTGCTAGTAAACATAGTTTACTGTAAACTACTTTTGCTGTATGAGTAGGGAAAAAAGAGTGCTTCTTTTTTTGGGTCCATGGAATAAGCCAGGCTTGGGGGAAATGCTGTGTGGCCTGGTAGACTTCTGGTATCTACGTCCAAGACTCAAAGAGCCTGTGAAGATCTCACAGTCCCAGAAGATAAAGTATAAGAGGGCTGAAGAAGGCTGACTGCACATCTCGGTCCCCCTCACTCATTCCCCTTGAGATCCCATTCCCGCCAGGATGGCGAGGTGGTCAAGAACCCACAGGGACAGTTTCTTTACTTTCCTTGGCCCACAGCCCACAGCAGGTATCAAAGTGAAGGGACACAGCTCCTAACAAGAGACTCAAGGAGTAACAGGTAAGGAAGAGTCTTTGGTTAGGGCAAGACTGTGAAGCCAGGATTTCCCACTGTACCAGTATGACTTTGGAATGGAGTAGTTCAAGTCTCCCCTTGGCCAGGCTTGCCTGGGGGAGACCTAAACTCTGTCTGAGTTGCTGGCTTATCAGCTCCTTCATTGCAGAATCTGTGCCAATCACCACAATGGGGCAAAGTCTAGTAGCTCTTAGGCTCCAAGTAAGGTCTTATTCTCTCCAAAGCCACTGGAGAGAATCCAAAGGACGGCCATTAAGTGACTACAACACGTTTTGATACTTGCAAAGATTCCAACCATTGTAGCTTATACAAACAACTTCTTTCTTTCTAGGTCTTTCATCCTAAGTGCTGGCCATTTCAGACAATAAACCCAGCAGAGGAGTTTCTCATCCCATAGTCTTGTACCTACAGCTCAATTTCTCTTTTTTCCCTTCCAACACTCGCACACATCCTACTGTCCCACTTCTAGCCACGTAAAAGTCCCAACACCCACTGCACAGTCCTTTTCTTGCAGTGGATTTAGCGCCTCTTTGTTCTCATGCTACAATTTGTTTCTTCTTAAGCAAGCATTCTCCCATCTCTTTTCCTCAAAGAAAAAAGATAAGCTGGAACAATGTTCTCTCCAGACCTCCTCCTCCCCCAGATTTTCTATTCATTTCTAGCATATCACGAGTAACCATTTTTTCCTGAGGTGTATGAGTATGTGCTAACAGCAATTAGATAGGATAGAGAGAAAAACCTAAATATTCCCAGAAACTTGCAAAACAAAGAAAACCCCCAAGGCAAGATCTACGGTTGGTATTGTAGGGCCAAAGGCATGCCCGTGGCTTTGTGAGCTCAAAGACTGGATGACATCAGACAAATGTTTCAGAATGAACAGTTCTGCTTCCAGCTGGGGATGGGAGGTCAGCTTACGCTTGTGAAACCACCGCAAGGATCACCGTGTGCTCTGAGGGGTTTGTGGCCCGGATCGACCTGCAATGAGAAGGCTCCACGTCAAACCAGGTGATCTGGGCATTGTTCCTTAAACAAATGTGGAACTTCTTCACATTGAAAATGGCACAAAATCAAATCTTCCTCTAAAGAAAAGGTCTGAAAACACACGGAAGACAACAAAGAAAGATGCCCTTGTGGATTAGGACAATCTCTTCATTTTTCCCAGGCAGTTATCCAATAGGTCAGACCTGCCAATTTTCCACTTCAAAAACTGGCAAATTCCACATAAATTCCACGTTTCCTGATTGAAATGATTGAAATTCCACTCCGCAAAAAAACTGGCAGTCCTACAATTCTCCAGTTATCAGTTTGTACTTGGGGAGCTAATTGGGCTGGACTTTTTTTTCTCTTAAAGTAGGAAACAGTTCAGAAAGCTGACCTTATAATAAAAATTAAAGCACTCACTGGCAGCTGTGTATACAGATGCAGGTTAAAGCTTATTAAAAATGGTGCCAAGAGCCACCCCAAATTTTTGGTTGTACTGTTGTTCATGCTCACATATACTTTAAACAACTGGGTCATTGACAAGAGCTGAGAAACGATGCAATATAGCAATTGTCACTGTAATGATATTTGTTGTGCTGTGACCACCTGTATGTAGTTAGTTTATTCCCTAGGAATTTAACAGGGTTAAAATATATAAGGATGTAGAATTTTGAGGTCCCTGAGTCTTCTTAGAAAATGTGCCATGTATGCTGTGGCTCAGATCTGGATTCTCCTGGCCAGGGGTCATGAATTGGATGAACTTTTAATAAAGGGCCACATACTGGAATCAGCACAAATAAGCATGCTTGTTTTGACCCATCTCCCTGGTCTGGCCTCTGCTTATCTTGAGATCCCTAGGAAGGGGACCGTCATCTCCAAGAACAGGAGGCTCAAGGCTGCTCCTGAGTAATTTGTAAAACAACACGTGTTTATCTTTCTAGCTATTGGCCTTTTGCTCCTCTCCATTTGAATGTGTTTGTTCTCCTCTGGGGACAGCCACCTCATGTTTCTTTATCCTCTTCAACTCCAAAGTTTCCTGACCTTTCTCAGAAAATGCCCCTTCCTCATTTCCTATTCCTTGAGACCTCACTCTGTGTGTGTGGAAGGCTCAAGAAGATGACCAGCTGCTGTCTTCCTGAGAAGAGAAGATTCCCCTTGTGGATGAATGGTATCTGGACGAGCTCCTCTGGAGAGAATGCCTGAACTCACCCACTTTGGGCAAGAGGACCAAGTCAATACCTCTCCAGTACCGCTACAGACTACTGCCCACTCGGCCACCCCACGGACAGGCCTGGAAGGTGAAGCTACACTTATTTTCTACTTAGGAGCCTACTGAATCCTCAGCAGAAATCCCAGTTAGCACCTAGTGAAAAAAATACAGTGTTTCAGAGGCCTGCTCTAGTCTCTAGGGAGACACTAAGTGCTTCTCACCTTCACTCCAGTGGGGTGTCGCGGGGACACTGCTGGGCTCCATTCTAAGGGGCGGGCCTTGGGCAAGAGGCTCAAACACTGTTCTAAACATAACTGGGCTGGAGCACACACTCATGTGGCTTCTTTTGGGATGGGCTTCCCTCTTTTGGGTTGCTTCCTGCTGCTTACCTCTTTGCTCTCATCCTTCCAAAGGAACTGGTGTGGTCAGAGGGACCTGGACCTCTTCCTGGTTGAGTGTACTAAGGGGGACCCTGGGATGATGGGGCAGGGGCCCAAGGGAGCATGTTAAGCTAAGGCCCAGTCTAGCTCAAAACCAAGGATCTTGGGTCATAGATGACAACAAAGAACATGCATCTGCCAGGAGTGTGTCCCTCACTTATCCTCAGGAACAGTGCTGGCTGTCAAGCATTCAGGAATCTGGCCACTTTCAACAGGACCAGTAACAGTCAGTCAACACACCACCAGGTATGTAACCTGGCTTCTCAACTGCACAGATCCCCCCATTGTTTTTCTGTGCAGCTGAGACTGAAGTACATTTATGAGGAGATAAAACTACATTTCTTTATATTCAAGGAAGATTGTAAAGTTTATCTGCTAAATTGGGCCTTTGCCTGAATCAAAAGAATTCTTCCTATTAATTCTTTCTATTCACCCCTGAATCTCATCTTAAATTAGTCTATGTATGAACAAAAGACTGTGGTATTTCTACTACAAAATCATGTAAGAAAAGTCAAAACCAAGAAAAAGTAGACATACTTAGTTGAAAAAGATCCAATTCTACCCTGAAGATCATTTAAAAAGAAAATATATTTCTTAATAGCAAAAATACCAAATATTTTATAATACATTTATTAATACATATAATTAAATAGTAAAATATTTCTATGCAGGAAGATTATTGAGACCAGTAAGACATTTTAAAATAGATTCCTTAAGAAAGATTCTTTGGGAAACTGAAAATGGCCAAAGAATACCAAGGAAATACCTATGACAAGAAACTTCTCTTAATCCACTAATTTCTTGTCAGGGTACCAAAGGTTCTAAGAAGCCATTCTGCTACCTTTCATTTCACTTATTAATATCCCAGAAAATTCCAGCTCCATAGGTTATTGGAGTCTGTCCTGGCCTAGCATTTAATTAGTGCTCTCTTCCCGTCTAGCTTCAAAGCCTTCCACTTCTGCTAAATGGATCAGCTCATCCGGAGCTAACTGATGACTGCATTTATTTATGAACAGGCTGCATTGCCTCCCCAGAGCACAAGCATTTCTGTAAACAAGTGCGGGGTCTGGATCACTGGAAGATTTTCCGCTGCTGCAAAGTGGCTGCCTTCGCTCCCTGACTGCTGTAGGATCCACCCATCTGTGTCAGGCAGGGAAAAATCTGTATTTCACACATTTCTGATGTTCATTTTGAGACAGAATAATTAAGATTAAAATAGCTGGTTTAAATCAAAACCATATCTGTGCAATAAGAACTGTGTGAATTTTAATGTTTTTTGTGAAATATGAGCAATACTCAGGAGAAAAAACACCCTGAAGTATTCAGTGAGGCCAGCTCACACCTCTAAATGTGCCGGGACTCAAACGTGGAAAAATAGATAAGGTGAGATAAGTCCAGAGAGGGAGCTAGAGCTTCCATCATAGAAGTCTGTATGTACTGCTTAGAAACATTGAAACAGATTTTAGACATATTTGGGAAGGAATTGAAGTCATCCATAAATGAAGTTCATTTTAAGCTAAGTGGAAATTTACTAATCACATTAAATTAAGGAAGGTACCTGCACACCGCTTCTGCATCAAAGTTTCGAGTCTGTCGATGATCGATGACAATAATCTCATGATGTTTATCTAGAAAGCATTCAAGGGCTGACTCCGGGGTCCGAGCAATGTTGCACCTATAACCGGCTCTGTCACAGGCCCACCAGAAGCCATCACTCTGACTATCCTCCTTTGCAAAGATCAGCAAAACCTGGAACACACAGAAAAAAGCATTTTTATAGAAATCATCCTCAGAGACCGTATTAAAAATAGGCCTACAGTATACGGGTGAAAAATGCAGCCTCTGGAGAGAGGCCACCTGGGTTCAAATCCCAGCTCCTCCAACTGGTTCCAGTGGGTCTTTGAACAAGGTATTTCATCTCTTTGGTCGATGGTTTCTCTGCTGTCAGATGTGACAAGAACTGTGCCATGTAAGCTAGCTGTGAGACTGGAAGGAGTGAGCACAGCAACGGTGCTCAATCACCCTGGTATAGGCTGTTAATCATTTTTAGTTTCCTAACTAGCTTTGTTTTTAAATAGATTCGGCAGTAACATCATTAACAGAATAATTAGCACAGGTGAGACTCCGGTTCACATACACACACACTTGGTTCCCGTGCAGGTGGTGTCTGCCTCACGGGCCCTGGAGGCCGCTCCTCTGACCTGAGCACTAAAATCCCTATAAAGACACAGGAAAGGAAAAGAACTCAAAAACTAGTTCTAACACCCAACCCTTGCCGGAATGTGGAAAGAATGATCATGAAATGTGAAGGTGATGGAGCTAAATTGAGGAAAATTTGCCTCTTTTTTCCTCATTGAAAAGTGCAGCCCCACCCACTGGAAAGAGGGCAGCAGCTCTTTGCACCCTGATCCCCTCATCAAGCCCAGGCCACGGTTACCCAGACTCTCAGGCTGCCGGAAAGCCAGAGACAGATGGCCTCACCACACCTGAATTGACTTGTTCATGGTCTCCTCCCCACCCAAACTGAGCTGCAGGAGAGCAGGACCCACCTGCTCCTCCCTGCTATCCCCGTGCCCTGCACCAGGCTGGCACTTAGTAGCTGCTCAGGAAATACTTGAGTGAAAGGATAACTACTCGTAGGGTTTTCTAGAAAATGCAAGAGAGCTTTGCTGTTAACAGGAGTAAGACTACCTCACAGCAATAGGTCTAATAAGAAAATATATCATCTCAAGATATTGATAAGGCATTTAATATTCTTCAGTGTCCACTTCTGTTTGAAACAATCAGCATAGTTTCTCAACACAAAGAGCCTTTAAGCCAATAGTCAGAATCATTCTTTGTGATGAGATACCAAACGTGTTTCATTAAAATCAGGAACAAGACAAACTGTCCAACCCTTATTACTACATTTTAGAAAAGTTTTATTAATCGAAAATTGGAAATATATAGAAAAGTAGAAACAATAGTACAGTGAACCTCATGAACCCATCACCTGGCTTCAGCAATAACCAGCTCCTGGCCAATCTGGTTTCATCTCCATCCCCACCCGCCTCCCGGGCTCTTGAATTAGTTTGTGGCAAATCCCAGATATCATATCATTTCAACCATACGCATCTGTTAAAGACTCTTTTCTAAAAAAACAAAAACAATACCATTTCATACCTAAACCTCCCCAATAATCCCTTCACATCATTAAACATCTGAATGCATCATGTCATTTGTTTTACACTGTTTGAATCACTTCCTGTTTTCTCAAATGCCATGTTTCTGGAAGAGAAATATGTTTTTCAAAGAGAAATAATATATTTTTCAGCATGATTGACATTCTCTTCTTAGCATGTGGCTTGAAATCACATGCTAGTAACACATGAGGCAGTCACAGTTAGTAAGGGCTCCCTCTGGGCCAGGGTCTGCCACTCCTCAGCCCAGGGTACTCCTAAAAATCTTCAGCCACAGAGCTACTTCTAGGAAGAAATGGGAAGTGGCTCTTCCAAAAGAAGTGAAGGGCACAGCCTTGTGGGTTTTGATAGTGAAAAGAAAGCCTTCAAACGAAACTATTAACAAGGGAGCTACAATGAAAAAAGTCAGGTGGAATAAATTGGTTTGTGCAAAAAGTCAATAGCCCCTTACTTGGTGTAACTGTGATATTAACATGAGAAACTCAATGTGCAGGGCCTACAGTCAGAAGAGGTTACAGAACTTCTGGTCTCTCATCTGTGTGGCTGAATTATAGATTGCTAAACAAGAATCTCAACACTTTATATTTCCTTCATACTATTATGCTTCAATATTTGACCAATACAATAAGAACACAACTGTATTCTCATGTTAGACATTGCTACAGATATTAATCTCATATGCCCTAGGTGTCCTTAGAAGACTGGTGTGTTCTACTTTTGGAAAAATAATAAGTGTCATTATTCAACAAATATTTCCTGGGCACCTATGTGCCAGACACTGTTGTAAATTGCTTAGAGTTCACTGATGAACAAAATAAAGACCCCATGCGTTGCAGTGGTGGAGGGACAAACAAGAAACAACAGGCATAATAAACGGCAAATGACACGGGATGTTAAAGTGATAAGTGCTGTGTCAAACAGGAGGGCACGGTCTAGGGGATCAGGAGTGGGTGCTGGGAGCAGCACTAAGTAGGGTGGTTAGGGTGGGCCTCACTGAGAAAGTGACATATGAGGAAAGAGTAAAGTAAGCCAAGGTGACATGTGAAGGAAAAGCATTCCAAGCAGAGGGAGCAGTTCCACTGGCCCTACAGTGGGATGCGTGCCTGATGTGTTCAAGGAACCGCAAGGAAGCCAGTGCGACAGAGGGGAGAGGAGCGGGTGGGAGAGGAAGTCAGGTTCACAGCAGAGGGCTAGATCACAGGAAGGCTTTGTAGGCCATCTTAAGAATTTAGAACAAAAAACTGGATTTCACATGGAAACTCACAAAACTGACTGAAAGTGGGGAATTGTATTAATCATGCCTTTTTTATTTTCTGACACTTTGACATATGCGGCCTTGCTGACCCCGGACAGACACTCCTCTGAGGGTTAGCCGATTCCTAGAGACAGCAAACGACTTGCCTAGGAACACACCTTTCATATGCAAACCAATCCAGAGCCCACACCCCTACCACCTCTTTTATCAGGCTCTCACACTCTGGACCACTATCTACCTGCCCCAATCACTCCAGGGCCAGGTCCGAGACAACTAGGGACAATCTGTGTCCCAGACTCCCCTGATTAGGTTCAAACTAGGAAAACCTGCTTACTCTGCCTCACTTATTCCTTCCTGGGGGAATCACGATAAAGGCTCTGGCCCACGTTTTCCCCTCTCTCCCAGCCTCCCCACCAGCCCTGGTGCTCCCCTGTGTGGCCCTGCATGGTGTGGCGGGCCTGTCCTCTTGGGAACTGTGAGCAACACTGTCTTTTCAAGGGCAGTTGTCTCCTGATCTGTTGGGCTCACCACAACTGAGTAAAATCTACATTTTGAAACAGGAGTATTTATATTATAACAACACTCACTAGAGAATTTCTTTAGATACTCTTTAAAATTCTTTCCATTGATAAAAAAATTAATTCAGACAGACTACTTTTCAATAATTCAACTCCTAAGCAAACTGAAAATCAAAAAACAAACATTTTATAGTAAACTACTGTAGTAATCACCTTTCTATGGTGTCCAGCTACCTCTGGAAAATTTTACCTTCTCTAGGAAAGTGGTGGACCCATATAACCTGGGTTGAATGCTCTGTCCTTATCTCCCAGGCCACAGCTGAGCTAAGGATATTCTGTTTCCAGGAATTTGGAATTTGAACAGAGAGAAACAGAGGCTGGGAATTGGGATCCAGGCTCACTAGTGGTAGAGATACCAAAAGAAGGACCTTAAACTCCTGCTCTTAAAGCACCCAGACAGCTCACTGCCACCCTCTCCAAGCTACGGCTTTTCAATTCTTCCTTGGATTCTGCAAAACCAACACACTATCTTTCTAATATATTTCTTACTCATTTACTTTTTTGTATAAGGCAGCTGTTACCCATAACCAAAGACAAAAGCCAAAAAAACTTAAGCAACACAGTCCTTCTTCAGCTTTAATATTCAATTTATCAATATTTATAGTATCTTTGTTAGACGCGGCCATCTGTAAATATTTATTAACCATTCACTGAAGCAAATCCCATAAAATGTGAAATATAGTTTAAAAAGTCACTAGTGAAGGCTAAAACTGAACTTGACTTGTAAAGAATAAAAGTAAACTTTTACTTGCTCTAAATAATATGTGGATCACTCATTCAAAGAGTATTTATTGCTGACCTATCATGCAAGATTGAGTTAAGAACTGGCAGTAAAAAGCTGACAGAGACAGCCATAGTCCAGTCTCTGCCTCTAGGACCCACGCAGGGCAGAGTCAGGTAGGCAGATAAGTACAAGAAATGCACTAATGAGCGGTGACCACAGACAGAGCTTGGACGTGGCATCCAGGACAAGAATCTAGGCACAGGAGAACAGGCAGAAGGAAGTAGTTTTGTTGTATCAAACACCATACTGTTATAAACACAGCAAAAGAACAGAAGATAAAGAGCTGATCTGGGGTGAAGCATGGGGCAATGAGGAAACGTGTTCTTTCTGGGGCCGATCTTGGCCAACTTGGGTTCTGTCCAGGATCAGAACACAAATATAGGCAGTCCTCACTTTGCATGGTAGTGCCAGACCACAAAAATGACCAAGCAAAACGACCTTATTAAATGATGGCAAAAATAATGGTTCCATGACCTTTAGAAATTTTTGTCAAAACATTAAAAATTTTTGCTGTTGGTTATAAGTGTATAGGGAAATGAAAAAATGTAAGACATTTATTCAGTACACTGTAATTTAAAACATTAGAAACATTGAGAATAAAAATGTTCTTTTCCATAAAACTTATGAGTAGTTTGAACAGTACTTGCCTTCTTCTAGTTGTATAAATTATGATACAGAGTGGGCATCTTTTCTATGCCTTGGCAAATTATCATTCTCAAGTTTGGATCAGCTTCCAACATTTTATCCTCTGAACTTTCAATGTTATGAAATATCCCCAGAGTCCTTTAATTAACGTCAAGTTTTTTGCTGGCAGCACTACCTGTGACATCTTCACGTTTTTCATCACAACCCCTTTCTTCATCTATGTCAATAAACTTGCATTCACTAGCTTCCTCTGGCTACCTATCTAGAATCTCACCGGTAGCAATGTCCACATTCCCACTGTCAGCTAT